GGGTGGGGGGGGGGGGGGGGGGGGGGGGGGAGCTGGATTTGCCTGGCTCCTGAAGTCCTTGCTGCTCAGCTGCTCTATGTCGACTCAGCTGTGAGCATTCCCAAATCCTCAAGGACACAGCTCTGTGTGAGGAGATGGGGATTTATCCTTTTGCAAATGTACCCACAGTGTTATCACTGAAGGAGTATATTCAGGAACACGCCAACAACTTAACCAGCAAACTGTACTGGTCATAGAGTAGGCAAAGGGCCAGGAAAACAGGCTAACACCAAAGCCTGTATACTCTTGTTCCCTGGAAGCTGGAAAAACAGTTACATAAATTGCAAAAGGATTTCCTCACTTGAAAGGAAAAATCAGCCTGTATGATGGGGCAAGATATCAAAACTACCCCGTTTGGTTGAAAACCATACCTTTGGGAGGAAAAAGGTACAAATCTTAACTTTGTTACCCGATCAAAGAAAATAACACCTATCACTCACAGGGTGAGCGCAGAAAGAAAATGAAGTGATAAAGCCTCTGCTCACTTGCAGGAACAGTGAACAGAGACGGAAGGGTTAAATGTTTGAAGGTTGGAAGTCAAAGCTATTGGAGAAATGATAGCTGATGCATGCCGTCCTGCTGCAGAGGCTAATCACAAGAATGTGAGAAACAGATAAGAGCCCTAGAAACACATTTGCAGAACAAGAAGAGGCCTATAATACAAAGAGCCAGCATCTTTGACTGCCAGCACCATTACAAGAAACCAGAAGCGGCTGGAAAATGCTTCAATATGTACTAAAAAATTCTGATCATAAAGAAAAATGAATATAAAGAGACAGTTCAAACTTAAGTAATAGATGGATGTAAATAATCTTAGGAGAAATGGTTTCAGTAGTTACAGTTAAAGCCAAACTGTAATAGCCTGATGGCCTTGGTAGGTCTTTTTGTTTTGTTTTATAAGGTCATCCATTGAAGAACAACTTGAACAGAAACAGCCAGCCCTAAAGATAAAATTGTTCATTTCAGCAATGTGTGGGGTTTTTTTTAAACCAAGTGTGTAAGTAATGGAATGAACCTAGGAACCAGAGTAGAAGTAATATTAAAGGAAGATGGCATAGAAACGTATTAGAGAGTACTCATATCTGCCTGGTAACCAAGCTTAACAGCTGTATTCTAGTGTTTCTAAAAGTTAACCCGATATGATCTGAAATAATCTGTCAACACCTTCCCTTAAAAGGAAAAGAAAGAAAGGATAGTAAAATTATGCCTAACATCCCTGGATCTGTAAGTGTGAAGCTGTCTGTTTATTATCAGTAAGACAGGAGAGATGGAGGAAAGCAAAAGGGAAAAAAGGGTTGTGACCGATTATATCTGAAGCTCCTACGAAGGAAAATATTCCAGCCTGTGGAACAAAGATAATTATTAATCTTTGTTATTAATCATCCAAGGTTATGAATAATCAAATTAATTACCAAGGTGATGAATAACTGAATACCATCACAAGCCTATTTTACCTATAAGAAAAAAAATGTTGGAATAGTGCCTTTAAGACTGCAGGGCTGCCACACAGGAAAACACATCCAATTGTAATGTTGTTTATGCTAATTGTGTAAAGTATTGCCTAAATCTATGTGGTTACATACAGTGTACCACTTGCTGATTAGAACAGCCTATTTGGGGACTGACTCACCCTTTCAAGAACACCTGTGAGGCAAGAGCAGACCTTGCTGCGGCACAGCCTTATCAGTGAACACTCAGTCACTGAGATTGAGCTGAGAGATGGCCATCTGTAGGGCCAGGTACCAAACTCAGGGGGTTTGAGATATTGCTGGATAGTCATCATATTGACCACACTGGACCCATTACAAAAGGTCAACCCAATTCAAGGGGTGGAAAACCCTACCCAAATCCAACCAAAGCCTACCTAAAAGCACTGTTCCAGATGAAGTTACGATTAAGCAGTAAAACCCTTAACTCTAGATCTCAAGTCCTGTGCAGTCAGTTATAGCAGGTAAGTGCACTAATAAATCAGACCACAGGTTCCATAGGCAAAGTATTTCCTGTCAAAAATACCTCTGCCTCCTTGTATACAGCTGACAGCTTGTCATGAGTCATGGTAAATAATGTCAACATTTGAAGGGGAACTGGCAACCCTGGAGAGCCTTTATTGGATGGCATTGACCTTAAATATCATTCAATCAACTGATTAAAAACTGAAAAGCAGGACAATGTCATAGAACTACAAGCGCTACATCAGAATCAACTCATTATCCAGACTGCCAGGCAAATAGCTAATGCAGCTCCTGCCCAGTGGCTGGAAATCTGCGGTAGTTTTAGCTCCAGTGACACTGCTCTTCTACACCTATTCTCTCACCCAGTGTTTGTTTCACTTCTCACTGCCCTTTCATTATTAACTGCAGTAAACACTTTGTAAGAATCTTTCTAGTAGTCAAAAGGTTACTGGTGTAACCTGCAATTTACAGTATCTTTTGAAAGAGTCAACTGTATGTGCATCAAGGGGTGGAGTGTAGGAATCCTAATTGGAATGCTACTCTACATCAAGAAGCGTAGCGATCCACGCAGCAGTTAACCTGAGTAGGCACAAGGCTATGCTGTGCTGCACGTACCCCTTGGCCGCAGGATGAACTGACATGGCTAATTGTAACCGAGGCAGCTGTAGGCAGCTCACACTTGGCACCAGCGATCACACCACCTGCAAGTCCTTCTCTAAAAATGAAGCACCATGGTCTCATGTGAACATCCTCTTGCTGGACAGTGGGAATGGTGAATAGAACTGTTTTCTTCTAAGAAAATCCTGAAAGAGCTCCAGGGACCAAAACGCTGGTGAACCTCAGCATGGCCAGCGTGCCTTGTCCTAACAGAGAGATCCATCCAATGCTGTATCATCCTGGGGTTCCCAGCATCAGAAGGGATGCAAGATTCTGCTGCCACTCTTCTATTCCCCTCGTATTTT